GCAATAAAATTGGGCCCTAAGAGATTAGTAAGTCTGCTCACGGCCATTGAGACCGGCCATTGACGTATCATGCGCGTCATACACGATTTTGTTCTTTAAATCATCGTTGTGGGAAGCTACAATCCATGACTTATCGCCATGTTCGACTTTATAGTGAAGGAGACCATCCATTAACGCATACCAATGCATACAATTTTTTTTACAGCCTGCAAGAAGCTTGTCATGAAGTGACTTATCACTCAGTGGGAGCCTTGATGATTAGATCACACTTTTTATCCTCATCATAAGCTCGACGTATCATATCGAATGCATCGTTTCGATATAGCTAGCTCATAATCAGGACGACGTGACAATACGTCGGCCAGCACCTTCAGTTTTCCACCTTGTACGCACGATAAAAGTTGTATTCTGCGAAGACTACAACCAGCGAGTCATTTGCTGTGACAAGCAAGGAGACTGAACTGCATATCGCAAGTTTGCGTGATCCGTTTCAACGGGAAACAATGTTGATCCAAAAAGGTGAAGACGAAACTCTCCCAGAGCATACTTCATTGCCAAGAGCTCCTTGTCGTGGCATTTCAGCTGACTTTAGGTGTCGCGATTGAAACGACACGAAACGATCGTGTCAAAGTCAGCTAAACATCCATATCATTCTCTTACTGTATTTGCTATTTATGAAAATATCATTGTGTAAAAAAAGTCTTAATTTTTTAACCAGTGCAAAGGAAATACGTTGCAAGACAAATAAAATCGCACGTTATAGTCCATTTCGGGCTGGAATGCGTGTTTTGAGTGCCAACATGTGGGCTATGTGCTCGTCAAGGAAAAACGGGCGGAAGACTCAGTGGCATGTATACCGAAATATCAACACGACTGCGACAGAAAAGGAAGCTTTAACTTGGTTCGTGGAGCTTTCTCGACTGTTGCCTGGGCAAAGTGGTGCCCAGAATTGTCATGCTTTGACTCGATGTTGTACTTGAATACAATGACTTTATGAAATCTTATCACCCTTGCTTTTGCTCAGTACTTAAGACGAAAATCTTCACACAATTAGACCGAATCATAAATAGAAAGAACATGCATGCACAGTATTTGACTCGCAATCTCTTCGCAAAAACACAGACGGAAACAACAAAGCATCGGTTCGGTTGCAGTATGATTATAACGTTACTCGCTATCGTCCCAGAACTACGCAGGATTCATCTATGAGCGTCTGGGGGTATCGAAGGGAATGTTCAACACATCACGGTCAACATTCGCCTCATTGACACCTAAATTAATGTTCCCGTCTGTGTCAATTGGAGCATTTAGTTTGCTGAACAACTTTTCCGGTGGGATTCGATCGTGAGTCCATACTTCAAAAAGCACTTTTTGTAGATCAGCGGCGGATAATTTATACGCTAGCCGGTCATCTTTTTTTAGTGCTACTGAGGCCTGGTATGCGAAACGTCGCAGACGAGCTCTCATCTGTATGGAATCGACAAAGTTTGACCAGATGAAGTCGCTAAAAGTTTCTAATTTGAAAAGAGCACTGTTGGCGCCGTCAACATTGCTAAACTTTAACAGGTCAAAAACTTTCTGTAAAGAAAACAAATTCGCTTTCCAATAATTAAGTCGCTCATGACACATTGTCGACGCGAATTCTTCCGAGTGTGGCAAAATCATCGCATCTGCTAGCGCTTCTGTCACACCGCCTTCTCCGTAAGTCGTTATAAATCTCTGAATTGCCGTTTGCGACTTGGAAAAAAAATAGAAATGTATTCATGGAAAATCTCCAATTTACCGCTCGTCAATGCGTCATATGCTTTGGGGCCAACTTGAAGTCGGTCCCACACTGAATCCAGTGACAATTTATTCCACTGGTAAAATAAACTCATTTTCAGGGGTTTAACAAAATCAATGGCGTTATCTCCTAGGCGAAGTTTCACCTCGTAAATTTGTTGCACTAAGTTGCCTTCGCCACCAAAATGAGTCGTCAAAATCGTCAACAACAAGTTCCAATTGTGGTAAGCTTTTTTTTTTGTTTTTGTAATTGTGCAAACCAATGTACCCCGATAGCTCGTCAAATTTTCCATTACGTATCGCTTCGGTAAGATCGTCGCCGAATTCCAA